TAAATAGTCCACTTTAGATAAAAAAGTAAATTTTATTAAGTCAATCTCATTTATTTTAATATAGTATAATGATATTATTTTTAGAATCAAGTTTTGTTATACTTTTAAGTTAGAAAAGAGCTTTATTTGAATTTTACTGATTATTTATAAATGATATTTGATTTTCTGTAAATTTTTATTTACTAATTGTTCAAATTATTTTTGTTCGATAAAAATATTTTTTTTAATACAATTAATGACTATTAAAAATTAAATATTAATTGGAATTTTATTATAAACTAATGAAGAAATCTCAAAATATTTCTTTAGTACAGATTAAAAATTTTTTAAGGTTATTTCTAATAATTATTTTGAAGTAGATAATTATCCTAATCTCCAAGAGATGTATAACTAATTAATTATAAAATATAATCAAAACTTTCAATTTTTAATATAGAGAAAATACTTAATTTTGATTTGATTAAGTTCTTATTTAAAATTTTACATTTTTAATATTTAGTCATATATACAAAAGAAAATCGGGAAATAAACTAAAAGATAAATCAGTTAATATTTTAGAAGAAGTCCAAAAGAATTTATTTAATATACTTCAATTAGTTATTAATTATTTTTTAGTGAGAATTAATTTAATAAAAAATGTTTATCATTTTATTGATTGTTCTTACACTAACAGAAGCTAAATAAATAACTTAAACCTTTACCATGAAATAGCTTTAAAAATAAATATACATCCCAATCAATAGATTTGGCAGCAGAGGAATAGTTAATTATAAAATATTGTAAATTGAATTATTTTATTCTAGAGCTCGAATCATAAAACCCCCAAAAGATTACGAAAATAGATTATTTGATATTGAAATAGATTTTTTCCAATAAGACAGTTGGTAATTGGCATAATAAAGAGTGGATGAATGTAGTAGACAATAAGATGCAAATAAAATAGTACATCAATAAATAGAAGCAAGTTCAGATTAAAAAATGTCAATGTAAGAAGGATAATTGACATATGGATAACATCATAATGTTTGGCTTGCTGTTTTAAATAATTGTTAACATACTATTGATAAAGTAATAAGGCTCAACAATAAAAACACGAAATTAGAAATCACTGTTTGGTTTTATGATGAGGGAGGAAAAGAATTCTCTTTAGAAGAAGAGGGAATATTTAGTGTAGTGACCATTTTAACAGTATTTACAATAATAGGATTTATTTATAATTATAGTATATTTAAATCAGAATTAAAAAAATATGGAGAATGGGATTATGCTTTTTTATTTGTTTTAATTGTAATTGGTTTAGAAGCAACTCAAAATTTATTTAATTTTATGCATTTAGTAGTCTACAATATAAATGGAAAAGGAATGAGTGCTTTTTCAACAATTTCTGAAATTATCTAAGTGGTTGATAATTATCTTCTTATGGTTTTACTAATTTTATTTGCATGGGGTTGGTCAATAGAATTTTTTGATATGGAAGATTGGGATATTTATATACCATTAGCATTTTTGATAGCATTTGCTTAAGCATTAATCGTTGGATTGGGAAGATTAGTGAGCAAGCAAACAGATTATCATATTTATGAAAGTTGGGTAGGTTATATTATCAGTTTAATTTATATTTCTCTTGCTATATACTTTTATTATTATACAAATTAAAGAAAAAAAAAAGGAGATTAAATTGAAAACTTTTATTTCCAATTGAAACTTTATGGGATGTTTTTTTTTCTAGCATTTCCCTTATTGTTATTTGTTTCTAAATTAGTAGATCCATATAAATCTTACACAATAATCATCATGGGGAATATGTTTGCTCGTATTTTAAATATGATTCTAATGTCAAGATTATTTACTGGTAAATCTTCTGAATATCGAAAAATTTGTATTAAAGGGAAATCCTTTTTAGATAGAGGAAAGTTATTATGAGTATTTTATTCAATTATATATATATTTGTTTATGATAATTCAAAAAGTTACAAATTTTATTTTCATCTAATTTTATATTGTTAATCGATTATCAAGGTAAGGGTTTAAAGTAGATAAGAAATAATAATTCAATAATATCAAAATATCAAGCCATTTGATATTTATTATACCATCTAAGATTTTTCTATAAATGTTCAAATCAAGAATAATATTGGTAAAGAACCAATTATTTTTTAGAAATTGTAAATATAATTAATAGAGAGTTCTAGAACTTTTAAAATAACCTTTTATTTTTCAAAATATTTTCAATAAAAATAATCCATTTCCTCAAATGACTGATGAAAATAAGTATGATGGTCTATTTATGACAATTATGTAGTAAACAAAAGATATTAATATATTCTTTGATGCTGCATTTGGATTTTTGAGGTAAATTAATATTCTAATACTCAAAGACGTCACACAGATTTCTTTTAAGATTAAAAAGCAGCAGAAAAAGTAATAACAGAATCATGTGCTAAAAATTTCGTTAAATTTTAATCAGAAAAAGTAGATAAGGATAAGAAAGAAGAGTAAAGAAAATAAAGAGAAGAATAAAGAAAGAGAGAAAAAGAGGCTGCTGAAAAGGCTAAGAAAGAAGCAGAATAGTTATAACAATAATAATTGTTAAAATAATAACAAGAAAAATTAGAATAATAAAAATAATAACAATAATAATAATAATAATAATAATAAGAATCACTTGATCCATCAATACCTATATACTAACCAGTTTTGAAAGTACCTGAATAAAAACCAAAGGAACCTGAAAAAAAAGAAGGAGAAGGTGAAGCAAAAGAAGGAGAGAAAAAAGAAGGAGAAAAAAAGGATGACAATGAGAAACCACCTGTTGGAAACGGAGGAAGAACAGAAAGATATATTTGGACATAAACATTAGAAGAAGTTTAAGTTTATATTCCTATACCTTCCTCTATTACAAGCAAATAACTAAATGTTAAAATTGAAGCCTGTTCTTTATAAGTCGGAATTAAGGGTATTTATATTTATTAATATTTCTTTAGGATAACCTCTTATAATAAATGGATAATTATTTGAAAAGATTCAATCAGATGAATCAACTTGGTTATTAACTGATGGAGAAATATAAGATTATAAAGGAAAGTATATTCATATTTCTATAACAAAATACTCTGGCTAAATGAATTGGTGGGCATGCGTTATTAAAGGTATTTAAAAAATACTAAAATTAGGTGATCTTGAAATTAATACATAAAAAATTAGTCCAGAACCATCATAATTATCAGATTTGGATGGAGACACAAGAGGAACTGTTGAAAAGATGATGTTTGATATGAGATAAAAATAAATGGGTTTACCTACTAGCGAGGAATTAGAAAAGAAAAATAAATTATCATAATTTATGAAGGCTCACCCAGAAATGGATTTTTCAAAGTGCAAATTCAATTGAGATATTATTTACAAAAATAAACTATATTAAAAAGTTATATATTTTATTTATAATCCCTCTATAATAAATTATTTATTTATTTTACTTCAAAAATAAACTATTTTAAACTCTTAAAAATCTAATGAAAAATGCAAGATGTATGGAATATTTAATCGATTAATTTCATCTTGATGATGTTATTCCAATTATTGAATAAAACTCTCTTATTGGCATAAATGAAGATTCCTCTATTATAGTTATCTATCGTTAAAATTAATTGGAGCATTACTAAGAAATAGATGGTCAAATGAAATTAATGTTTAAGCAAAGTTTTTAATTTAAAGATAGTGAATATAGGTTTATTATATCAAGCTCTCCTACAAGGATTGCTTTAAACAAAGAGGGAGATTTATTATTAATTGAAATAAACAAAACCTTATTTAATTTATTTTACAAAAAAGCGCACTTAAAAGGTTGGACCCATTTTTACTCTAACAAAACTAAAATTCTCCAATTTTAAAGTCAAAATGATAAATATTATGAACATTGTATGCTAAAAGATTTTAATTCATCATTTAATTGCTTTTTTATTTAAAAGGTTGAAAATCCCGCTACTATTATGATTTACATTAATCTAACCTCTAAAATAAAAAAAATAGCTTAAAAAGAACTATCAATAATTGATTGTGTATTCAATGAAGCAAATAACATTATTATTGGAAGAGAGTAAAATTATCTTAATATTTATAAGTGGAAAAAAGTGATTCCATTTTAATAAATTAATCTAACAAATGGTCTTCTTTTTGCCAGATTTGACTAACAAAATAATTTAATTTTATTGACAAAAGTCCATTTAGAAATATATATTGAATAATTTGGTTAGACATATCAAAAAGTTAAAGGAATACCTATAATAAATAATAATTAAATTTATGATATAGTTCCAATTGATACATATATTTTAATTTTGAGAACATATTTAGGTAAAAATTTTGCTGAAGTGAATCAAATAGAAGATAATACAATATAAATTGTTGGTTAAATAACATGTCGACAAATAAAAACTTCATTAAAAAATAAATTTTATTTAGCAGTAAAAGATAAGTAAATTGAAATTTATAAACATAATTGAATTTTTTATTATTTTAATTATTATTATTGCATCAATTTTATTACTTCTCCCATTTGTATCTTAAAATAATTAAATAAAAATTTGTAGGTTTCTATCAAATAAATAAATATAATCAGAGAAAAAAAAAATGTAAATAATATTATTTTATATATATGATATGCATATATAATATTCAATATCTATGTTTTTTATTAAATTATTATTCTTCCATATCGCTATCACCATTAAGTCCTGAATCTCTTGTAGACCAATCAATTTATGGGTTCTTTTTAGTAAATGCTGGTTAACCTCCTTATTAAATAATATGTTTCATTCTGATTCTGGTGATAAACCAATCAGATTATCCTTAGTAATTGTGTCTAACATGATCTTCACAAAAGAATCTGAATTTTTATTCATGATCTAATTATAAACCCATCAATCTAACTTATTTAAGACAATTAAAATGATAATGAACATGACATTCTGCTTTATTACATTTTAATGATGCACCGATAGATCCACAATATCTACACATTTAAGCTTATGCAAATTAGACTGCTTAAATTAATGTAGCAATATCAACTAACATAGTATTGTAATCAACTTAAACTCTATTAGACCATAGTAGACACATTTCATGAGAACATATTTCTCGACCTTCTTTATCTTTAAATAAACAAAGCTTTCCAAATCTAGATACTAAATCAAATCTGAAATAGAATTATACAAAAGATCTAATTTTTAATAATCTACAAAAAGCACATCTAATAGGAAATTTCAATTCTCCTTATTACATTTTCTTTAAAGGTACTCCTCTTAAAATAGGTTCTGGTAATATTGAATCACACATCAAAGTATTATAAAAGATTAAATAATTACACAATTTAAACATTTATTTTTTGATTCCTTAAGGTGGTTATCCTTGATCTAATTTTGGAATACCACATTTTTCAACAGCACCTATTTAATATTCTCTACCTATACTCATTTCTTCATCATCTTCATGTTTTACTTTACCTTTTACTTATCCTTTTATTTTCTTTTTATTTTTTTCTGTTTTTTCAGTATCTTATTTATAATAAGAATTATAAAGAGCTCTCTTTCCAAATTCAGCATTTCTATTCTCCTCTGTTTCATTAGCTTTTGGTACCAAGAATTACTTATTTTCTTTAAGTAAATCTCCCATTTCTTTTAAGAACTTTTAGAAATGTTATTCATGTTCTTCTACTGTTTTTCTTAATAAAGATGTAAAATCAGCTTTCTTATCTAATATATTCTTAATTCTTAATTAAGATATGCTTGAAGGTTTAATAGAAACTTCATGATTTTGTGAATCTAAATTGATATCCATCAATAATCTGAATTAATTTAAGTAATCATTAAGAGTAGTAACATCCACTCCTGTTTCTTTCTTATCCATATTATAAAGTATTGTATAAGCAATATCTACTTCTTCACCTATCTCTTACAAACTTAATAAAGTTTCATTAAGGTTCTCCATAAATTAACTGAGTTTATTTAATTTCTAGGCTTATTTGTATATACTTTAGGAAGTCTCTTCTAAATAGTTCTACATTCTAGCATAACTCAATTATCCTTCTTTAGTTAAATCTTATTATGTTCTTGATGAATCTAATATTCAAAATGATATTCATACTAACAAATTTAATTAGAGCTGCCTTTAATTTAGCATATCCGAATGATGGATGACCTTCATGTGCCCCTTCATGTACACATTTAGAACAAATGAATCCATCTTTATTACATTCTGGATTATTGCATACTCTTGTTACTTATTCTTCAGGGTGATGTTTGCAATATATTACATCATTATTTTATTTCTACTATGATTCAGTTGGATCACTCATTGTATTAATTTATTTTCATTTTTTCTGAATCATCAATATCACATAAAAGAATAAAATATTCAAATGCTTTTTTTATTACCTTACTATTTTTTGTAAATTAACTTTTATTAATCACACTTATTATCCTTCACTTATTCTTATCCTACACATAATCTAAGACAATAAATTTCCCAATAAATTAATTTCAATAACTTAAGAGAACTACATAAAAATATTATACTATTTTCAATCAATTTAAAGATTATTTTATTGTATCTAAATTTATGAATCTCAATTTTTAATAGAACATGTACAAAGTTTACTGTTAAGTCTATTACTATGATTTATTTAATCAAATAAGCGTATAAACTATAAATTTTTATTTATATTTCTAAATAGAATTTAAAAACTCATAATATCCATCATTCTTAATTATGTTATTTTATCAAATTTTTTTAAGAGGGTTTCGTTTCATGAAGTGTAAACAATATCATAAAATACAAAATTTTCTGATTGATTTGATATAAAATTAAAAATTCTGTCAATTAACTATATTAAGATTTAAAAATAAATTTTAGTAATTCATTTTTACAATAGTTTTATCTAAAATCTTTTTTCACAAGCGCTGCACTATTCTGACCATTAATAATTACAAAAGCAAACTTATCATTGCATTACTTTGACTATATATAAATCTTATTTGCAAGCACAATTTGTTACTTTTACTAAATCAAATCTTAATAATAAGGCATTTGTTATTTATTCATCTTTTTAAATCTACTATCAGATTGTTTTTCATAATAACTAGAGTGAATAATTAATTATTATTAATATGTTTACGAATCTAAAACAAAAATGAAATAATGATTGAATCATAATAAGGAATTATCATTTTTGAAAATTAATTATTTGTCTAATGAATTGAAAAATTATTGAAAATTATTATTCAATATATCTAATCATCTTTAAAGAGAACTTTAATTATTTGAAGATAAAATAGACTGTTCAAAACAATATAAATATAATGATGATTATAAATTTTATAATTTTATGTTTAAAATAGAGATTTAAAAAATAAACATTAATTTAATGTAATGGTATAGTCTTAAAACAAGTGGAAATAGATTATTATGATAAATAATATTCATAATTAATAAGATTGGAGTATTTAATATCAATTGATGATGTCAAAATTATTCTCCTTCAATTTATTTAGCGTATTTGAAAAATTCGTGATTCACAAATTCTTAAATAGTAATTCTATTATATTCTTCAGCCAAACCTCCTTCCATTAAATCTTTTAAGTTTTCAAGTAATTATTTAGGAATGTGTTCTCTCATTAATTAGGAATCCACTTTCTAAATGAAATCTAATTGCCAAAATAAATCAGGTTGATTAATCAATAATTGATAGTATTAATCATCTACAGTAGGAAATTATCCCATAATTGGAGGTCTTTTATAAATAGCCAAAAATAGAGCAGTTGTTAATGCATAAACATCTGAGGAAAATAAACAGAATTCATCAAATTCTCCATCAACAACATTCAATCTAAAATTAACAATTTCTGGACTTGAATAAGATGTAAGAGTTCTAGGTAACCATTTAGAAAGTAATTCTTCATATGAAGGTCTGTAGCTGAATCCAAAATCAGCTAATTTAATAATGTTTCTATTCATAACAAGCATGTTCTCTAATTTGATGTCATTATGTGCTATGTATTATGAATGCAAATATTCAACAGCGATTGAAATTTAAGTAAAGTACTTGATTATAATTTTGAGTGATGTTTCATTTGATTTACAAAGTGTATGAAGATCACAAGTAGCATTTTCAAGGAATAAACTGCAACATTAAAGGTTCCCTCCTGCTGGACCAAGCTAATGATTTGGAATAAATTATTAAGCTTTGATTATGTTTGGATGATTCAGCTAGCTCAGTATTTTCCATTCATTCTATAGATCTTGGCATTCTCTTTAATGTACACTATGACATACACTATCATCTTCCATAAATAATTAAGCATGGAACACAGATTTTATTACCACAGTCTAGAGAACTTATAATTTAAAAGTACATCAGATGCTCCCACTTGTCTGTGTATATAAGAGTTGTTGCCTTATTGTATTAAATACAAATGATCAGCGATCTAATTGATTTACTACATGTATATTTTTATATATTATAAATGTTTGTTCATTCTTCTTCCTTTTTTTCTTCTTTTGGTCCTTAAACTATTATCATAAGAACTCTTTATCTGGAGCTACCATAATTTCATTATTCTTAGACTTAATGCATAAAAAGGTTAACTCATTACTTAGATCTAAATCATGTACTGTCGATCTTTTTAATCCATAAGAATGATTAATACTTTGTCTAGGCAGCAAGAGTTAGAATTGTTTTTAGGAATATTTTCACCTACTTTGCTTTTTGTTCCATAAGTACTCCTTATTATTTAGACATCATTCTTACAAATCCTAATTCCTTAAACAGACTTATGAGTCTTGATTCTATTGATTGTTTCTTCAATATCCGAAGTTATTAAAAATAAAAATGACGGTAACCTTATTCTAGTAATTAACTAAAATAAGAGCTAAAATAGGCACAAATCGAAATAAATTAATCCTTGATTCTTCAGATCAATTTTCTAGATTCTAGTTTCTAAATAGAAGAAAGATAAGATCAAGCTAACAATTCTTTTCTTGAATATTCATGCTCTTTTAAATCTCCTGATAAAGAAAAATATGAACAAAAAATAAAACAATTAAAAAATACTATGCATTTCTTCGAAAATGAAAATTTATGGTTGAAAACTAAAATTCATTAGATAGAGTATAAATCCAAGAAATTTCACATTCCTAAAATCAAAATGCATAAGAACCTAAGAACTAATCCTTATTATTAGAAACAATATAAAAATCAAAGTAAATAAAATATCATAGTCTGTCTTTGCAACTTAAATAATGCTAGAAATAGCTTTAAAAATTATGAAATTTCAAATATAGATAAATTGTAATTGATATATGGTTATAATAAATAGATGATTATGTATATGAAGGATATTTTATGACAATAAAAGAGTTAAAAGATAAACTTCATTTATATCCATTCAATTTAGCTAAGGATGAAGCTTATATAATAGCAAGTTATATTATGGAAGGACATAATGATGTTTATGAATTAGAATATATTGCTTAAAATCCATGTCCATATATTTGTTCTGTTTTTAGAATTAACCCATTTATTATTAGTAATATTAAATAATTATATGGAGAAGACTGTTTTAGGGTTAGTAAGAGTAAATTTAATGAAGCTTTGATATCACTAAATATTGATTTAATTAAGTAAGAGTGTTAATTATGATTGAATATTAATTAATGAACCATTTAAAATAAAAGAATCATAAATTTCATTTTTATTAAGCAGAGATTGCTAATTAAAAGAAATAAAAGGATGAAATTTCTGTGATAATAGGTTATCGAGCAAAATTTTTAGAATTTGAATAATACAAATAATCTAATATTAGTAATTCTAATTTTAAAGATGAATAAAAGTTGATTTTATCAAATTGATAAATATATGTAGATAAATAAGAAGGTGAATGATTTGAATAAGAAAATGAAAAAACCAAATAATAATTATCTATCATCAAGATTATAATTTATAATTATGAAATTTGTTATTTATTTCAGATTAAAGTACTAATAAAATTTATTTGTTAAATAAAATATGAGCTTTAGAGTAGAAGAGTCTCCTCAATTCAAGGAAGAAGAGTTAAATTTATCAAAAATATATTAATACAGAGAATCTCATTTCTCTGGGTTCTCTTTCCCTAGCAGTGTCAGACATTAAAAAAGAATGAATTTTTAAGCCTCTGTAGAAACTAAGACTCCAACTCCAAATTAAACCAATATTGAAAATGCCCCTTGTGAACTTAGCTATGAGATAGAAAGAATGATAAAAGAAAGAGAACAATTATTTACAGATGTACAATATTATGAGCCTAAGATTACTTTTAATGTGGATGAATCACCACAAAGAATTAGAATTCAAAGAAATAGTGCTCCTATGCCAAATACATAATTATATCACTTGAATTAATAAATTATAGATGCAGAACATACCTATAATTAGTACTGCTATTAATTAATCTGATTATATTAAAAAAATTATTTTAATATCTAAAATTATGTTATTTAATCTTAATCTATATTATTTTTGGTTTGATCTTTATATTATACAATTTGTTAATATTTTGGATCACTATTTCATCAAGAATAATAATGTTGAAAATGCCTTGAATATAAAGATTATTTAGATTTTATTTGAAATATAGTATCAATTATTATCATTATACTCCTATTGCAGCAGGGAAGATCTTGAAATTTATTAAGTTAAGTCAATCCTAGCTTAACCCAATTCAGATGCCTATAATTATATTATAAATTACTAATTTACTGCCATTCTATAATGATTAATAATCAAGGCAATTACTATACAAACCGACAGCCATAGTAGTTAATCTCTTAAAATTGCCAATCATTTTTTTCTTACTTTCTTAACTAGTAAAATTACTACAGAGACTATTAGAAGATTATGGTTTCTATTATGTATATAATGATTATCTCATAGGAGTATCAAAATCTTTATGTGTGTTAAAACTGGCTTATCTTTATCCTTATGGACTCGTAAATTAATTCAAAGGGATGTTCATTTGATTTAAAGGACTCGCAAATATAGCTGCATCACCTTTTAAATTTTCTATTTCTTCTCTTAATAATTAAATAGTCTGTTCTTATTTCTTTTAATCTTCTTTCATTTTCATCATTGATTAATGAATTGTAGATTATATCTCATTTTATTTCGAAATTTAACAATTTAATTCCTAAATTATCTTAGTCTTCTCAAGTAATTTTTTATGTAATTATTTCTTTTCTCTTTCAAAAGCATCTCTTAATAGGGCATCTGAATTTTTTTATAATGCTTAAATTTAGCTTAAAAGTTACTGTTCTAAATTAATAGAAAATAGTTTATTACCTTAATTTCTTAATGAAGAATTTTACTCTTACAATTCACTCATTTGCATTTCAACATGGTGTAATTATTTTAATGCTTAATCGCAATGTTCTTTCATTTCATAATAACTTTGAACCTCCATCTCTAATTAGGCCTTATTTAATTAAAAGTCCTCTATTTCCCTATTTTTCTAAGCTATCTCTTCTTAATACTATAGCACAAAAGCACATAATTTATCTATTTGTTCATCTAGAATAGATTATTGATATACCTTTTTAAATTAAAGCAAATTCTTTTTCTTGTAATTCTTATTATAAAGCATCAATTTAGGCTTAAAGTGTTTTTTCTGGCTTTAACTCAGATATACCTCCTTTATTAATCATATCTAACAAGATTTATTTCTTTCTAGGATCTGGATGAAGAGTTTATTATTTCATAATTTAATTATGCTAGATTTATTAATAAAATAGTTCTCTCTCCAAATATAAGAAGAATTAACTTACTAAATAATATCAGATCGAAAAAAAACACGTAACTTCATCTTATATTTAAAAATTAAAGAGAGAGGGAGAAAATTAAGAATAATTTATAAATTTAAGATTTTTTATTTTTATTTTTCTATAAAAAAAGCTTCTGAACTTAATAAAATTAATTAGATACTGTTATGAGAAGAATCGATTTAAATAATCAATTTTAAGCTCAATCGGTACTTATTCAATTTTTCAAAGTTAGAATCTTTTTAAGTGAAATTTGTTTTAATTTACAATTCTTATATTGGATTAAAAATATACCTGTTAATGAAAAATAAGATTCATTTTAATAATGATAGGTTTATTTCATGAATTATTTTCAATCTAAATTTTTTATTATTATAATTTAATAAACCTAGAGGATAACATTTGTTAAACTTGTATACTGTTTTGAATAAAATAAAGTATCAAAAGTTTTTGAAATTGAATTTAAATTTATATTATACAGAGAAGTTATAATTCGATTAGTAATTTATTTACCCAATTATTTATAAGAACTCATAAAAATGATAGATTGGTAAACAATTTATTATTGATTGAGATAGAAATTGAAATAAAATAATAATAATTGAAAGAAAACTAAAATTAAAAACAAAATAGTATGAGTCCTTTAATAAATTAAACAAAATGTGATTACAGAGATTTAATTTGATTTAAAATATCTTAGTAATAATAAAATTCCATTTATTTAAAGAGTGCTTAAATTCCTATTTTTTCATTGTAAAATTGTTCAAAAAATAATGATTTTCTACTTAAATATGCTTAATTAAGCTTGATAAGTAAAGAAGAGAAATAAGGTTAAATTTGAAATGAATTATTTTGTAATTTTAGAATACGGCCCTGAGTTTTCAGCATAAAAAATGTAAATAGCAATGAAAAGTAGTAGTTAGTAAATGAATAGATGTTGAGACATAGTATAAGAAAAAAGAAGGAGTTAATTAGTATATACTAATAAAAAATAGAGTAACTTGATTTAAGTTTAGAAATGATCAAAATTATAGTCAAATTCCTTTGAGTAATAAATCGTCTATTTCTTACTTTAAATTTCCATTCTTTAATTCTTGAAGTAGAGCTTTGGTGTCTGGATAAGCTTCCATAATAAGTGTCATGTCTTTGTCATCTACATTTAACATTTCTCTGATTTCTAAATCTAAAATGGTTTAGCTACATATATATACATTATGATTGTTCACTACGTCTACGTGTTTGCATTAAAGGTGCATCTTATTAATCAAGAAGTCGACGTTTTCTCTTTAAATTGATAAATTGGCGATCTCCACTTTGCTTTTTGATTTCGTCATAATCCAGTACACTGTCTTCTTCTTATGGTATGTCTTTAATTATTTTGAGGTTAAGCTTAACTTTGGTACCTTTTACCTAAACAGGCAAGTTCTAATCAGTTTTAGGTTAAGGTGGAGTTGTAGGTTAAATTGGTAAAGGCGTAACCATTTATGGAGGAGGTTACATTTGTTGTTAAGGTTGTGGTAATGGCATTCTTAAAGGACCCAAACCAGCCATGGATGGAATTTATTGCATCTACTGCATTTGTTATAGTTGTTGCATCATATAGTATTAGGGTACATAGTTCATATAGGGCTAGCTAAATATTCATAATAGTTTAGACAATATAGTATAATAAGGATAAGTAGATGGTGAAATGATGTTGTTACATACATAAATTAGTGATTTTGGTAAATCATTTATGTCTATGGAGTCTGCTGTAATTGAGGATACATTGGAGGCTTTGCTTTAAGCATTGCTAGGTAATCTTAGTTAGGAAAACTCATTTTTGTGATATTTAAATATATCTCTAAGAATAAAACACAGATTTGATAATTAGATTTACAAAAGATATTAACCCATTTCTAATGGGCTTATCTCATTCACATTCTTTTTATTTCGTTTCTTCCATCTTCTATTAATCCAAATCAAACAAGAAATAAGCCATTAAAAACCAATAAATTATCTAATCTCATTATCAAAATTCATTCCTCTCACAGTTTTCCTGGAAAAATTTACTTTTTTAATGTTAAATCAACTATCCTCAAAAAATTACTTTAAAGACAAATTCTTAATAATAAATTAGCATAACTAGTTCACCTAGTAGAATTATATTTATATGTTTTTATCAAATGTCCTATCTTTTAAACTTAATGGAGCAGATTAACAAATAAACGGAATATTTAAATTATTCCTATAAAAAGATATTCCATTTTAATCAACCTCAGATTTCATCACAATTTTTGATGTTGGTTTTAAATATATAAAATTAGAATTACGATAGCAATATTTTTCATATATATCATTACTCTATTGCAATAATCAAATAATAATCTTATATTGAACTATTAAACAAAGAGAGTAAATATATTTATACAATATAATAAACTTCTTTGCCAAAAAAACATTTTTTATTAATATTATTTCTGAAATAAGTATCGTTGTTTATATTTACAAATAAAAATAAGTAAATTTATAGATTTAGCTCAGAAATATTCAAAAATATAAAAATAAAATAAAGATATTTTAGAACCATGAATCAGTGTAAATATTTTTTCATCATAAACTACTTTACCTTTGTAAGTAATATTTGAAGAGAATAGAATAGAATGTAATTGATTTGATAATTACAATATTTTTAATTAATTTGAATTAGAAAGTAATTGATGTATGTGAAGCATTATTATAATTAATGAATGACATATTACCAGCACCAAGTCTAGTTAAATATAGTAATCCAATTCTCATATCAAACAGTTAAAAGAAATAAATCAAACAATCGCCTCCTAGTAATACAGAAGATATTTTGAATGCTATTCTGTTGCCTAGAGAATTTAATCATTAGAAAAATTAATTGCAAATTTAATGTGTTTCTCCTGCACCTTCAACTAAATAAGATGTGCTAGAATTATAAGACAAATTAGATAAATGGTTATAATAGAGGCTTTCTAGAGAGACTGGATTATGCCCAATAAGAGAGGAGTTATATTCATAATGTTTTGATGAATTGATACGATAAATCACAATAAATTGCGCAGAAAGAGGTATGCTGCTTGTCACAGTGCGTAATGAAGTTCGAATGGTTATATAAACATACTAAACATTATATGCATCAAGTATTGCTTTTGGAATGAGAAAGTTTTTGTCTGAAGAAGAAAAGAAAGTATAAAATAAGCATAAAATATAATAGGCTGAATATAGATAAAGGATAAAACAATTAGAATAAGAATGTTCGGATCTATAAAGATAAGTTGAGAGTTTAGAGCATAAGCTTGAGGATACAAAATAATTGGATTAAAAAGCTAGAGAATAAACTAAAGAAACACATATGGAAATCATATCCTAATTAAAATCAGAAATTAAAACTAAAGTCTCTGGAGATTTAGAAAAGATACTTACAGGATAAAAAAAATTACCTGATAAAAAATGACAGTATCTATTTTTTGATAACCAAAATTTAAGAGCAGATTTATCTAGTTTTATTTTAGATTCTTAAAATTAAAACAAAATAATTAAGATATTAATATTTAATTTTAAATGCTTATCTATTTTCTATTCTCTCCTCTTAAATAATTAGATATTATGATATGAGAGTATTTTAATTCATAAATAGTTAGATAATAAACTTATTTTAATATATTTGAATATTATAAATTCAGTTGTATAAGAGTTTAAGTCATCATGCAATAAGATAACCCTCTTTTTTATAAAATTTTTTATAAGCAAAATAACCACCAACTCCAAGCAAAGCTACTCCAAATATAACAATTAAAGTAATCCACCACCAATTTGAACTTTAAATAAGTATGAAAATATACCTTGATTCATCATCATCTGGTTTAGGAGGAGGAGGAGGAGGAGAACCATTTATTGACAAATAAGCCTAGCCTACAGATTATGTAAATTAATTTGAGAGCTAAATGGTTATAGGAACTTCATCATCAAGATTTGTTGAATTTTTTAGAACTAATTATGGATCAGCTCTTAATTAATATTTTTAAATTAAATATTCCTCTGATTTTCTATCATAATCAATATTTACATAAAGATTAGGCTAAAATAAATAATATAAATTACGAATTTAGAATCTGAATCTTTAGTTAATAATAGAGCAAAATCAATAGGTAAAGCTTTCTAGTAATCCGCAATTACTGAATGAGTAAATGGAATAGATTTCACAGTTGTTGGTCTATCATTAGGAACATCATAAATTCCAATAAGTACATAATTTTCATCTGTATATGGAATAGCAACATGTCCATTCACATAAGCAAGTTTATCAATAGTAGGCCATGTTCCGTATGGAGTAAGGACGTATAATAATTTTGTATTTTTCTTAATTATTGAAATTGATTAAGCAGGTTAGGATACATCTAAATCAAAAGCAAGTACATAATGTGCCACATTATTTGTTGTTACTAAAATATTTAGTTATAGAGTAGTTCCAGAAACTTAGTTAGAGATTACTTTAACTTAATAAAATTTTGTATCGTCTTCAAGATGAAGTTAATTATCTTGAATAGTTTAGATTTTAAATAATTCTGAAGTAGTTTTAGAGAAAGCTCCTTAAGCATCATAGGCGAAATGAGCAAAATAAAGACCTTAATTAATATCTGTAAAAATAATTGTGTTATAGTTCACACTATTAACTTAATATTTAACAATGTCAAAATCACCAATCTATAATAATTTGGTTCCAACATATTAATCATTTATAAGATATTTATTTGAAATTGAAAAACTTTTTTCATCATAAATAAATGTTGCCACAATAATCATATTATCTATTGAAGCAAAATTTTCAGGATTAGAATTCAAAATAATTATATTCTTGTTATCAACCATTTAAATTTTAGATATCTATTAAATTCCACCTATAACTTATGTTCCTTATCTATATTATTAGCATTATGGTTATTATGTTTGTTATGAACATATACTAACATAAACACCAACTTCATTTTTAGTATTATGCCAACTAGACAATATAAAACTTAAATCTTCTGATACAGCAACCAATTCACAACTTTCTGATGTCAATTTCATATCAAATCTTGATAAAAATTTACCCTTTTAATCTTAGAAAATTAAAGAATTTTTAGCTTAATATACTTAACCATATTTTCCATAAACTGCTCCATCAGAAATATCATATTTCATATCTGTTCCATCAGCAACTCTTTAAATATTAGGCCTTATAGTTAAATTTGAACCACATTTTTAACATATAACATAAAAACTTGTAACCTATCCAGAATACCAATTGGTATCCATATCAATAATTTATTCAGCTTCCTACTTTACAAATTTAAAGACCTTTTATTTACTATCAAATAATTTCTAATTGATTGTCACAGTACTTTGAGAATTAAGAATCTTCATACTATTTTAAACTAAGAATGGATTGTTTTTAGGGAAATTTGTGATTTCAATTCCTACAATAACATCCGAAACATAATCTTAGGAATCTAAAATAGGAGTTGCATAAAGTTCAGCATCGGCTAATATACTTAAAAATCTATGAATAGTATTATTATTAAAATAGGCAAACATTTGATTACTACCATCCACAGCCATATCAAATGTCTATCCATCTAAATCTAAAGCTTTAGTTTCTAGTACTTTGTGAAGACATATATGTGATACTACTCCTGGTTCATAAACTAAAATAACAGTTTATTTATCATCTTTTGCTCTCACAAAGAGCCATCCTGTTTAAGAAGAATAATCTACAGTTAAAGGATTTTACAATTTATAATCATATAAAGGTAATTCTTTTGTTTTATATATTATCTACATATGTTTATAATTGTATTCTTCAATTACATCTTTGTCATCTAATTTTTAAACAATGAAAAAGTTTTCAATTCCTATTGCTACTTCAACTTATGCTCCAGGAAGTAAAGAAATTTCTTTTTGTAAAATAAAGGATGAAATTTTATCATTAGAAAATGTTCCTATAAACAATGAATTTATTGTTTAGATAAAAATCAAAGAGGATTTAGCTTTCTTATTTGCAAATACTCTTTAAGGTGTAAAATTTCCTTTTACATTAAATTATGCTAATTTATTATCATTAATTTCATAGATCAATTAAAAAGGCATGTATTTTGAATAGATTTAAACCTTTTTTAATTTTGATTAAACAACATAAACTTCATCTTCTAAAAAGGTTACAGAATCTATTTTATTATCAGGTGAACTTTTATCAACTTCTATTGTGCCAATATGCTAAACATTTCCTCCTGCACTTGTATATATTTAAATAGTAAAATCAGTATCCTAATACATATAGGTGACATAAAGAGTATATATCCACCATTCGAATGAGTGTTTTTTCTTATCAATTATATGATCCAATTAAAATTTATCATAATTCTTACAATCAGCTTATTCATGATCATTCAATTTATGAGAGCATCTGTAAACAAATATCTCCTTTGATGGAATTTGAACTAGTAAATAAAATACACCTGAATTTTCATTGACTAAAACATCAGAATATTCAACATCTTTGGCTTCTGGTGGGGTAATTCCATTTAATTATAAATTCCAAACAGATTTAACTGTTAAAATTACTTTGTTATTGCCTCTTGAATTTTCAAGGGATACTATTGAATTATATTGTAAGTTTGGTCCTGATGCTATCAAATCTATTGGAATTGGAGGAGAAGGGACTGTTAAAGATGCTGGAAATGGATGATAACTTTATGCTCTAATTGAAATATCATTTTTTTTTAGCACCTGTACATTAATAGATACTTAACATTCCTTTGAAGAATTATCTAACGATATAGCTCTCAATGTGTAAGGTTTCATTCCATCATTAGAACTATCCAAATACTTTAAACGAAGCAAACCATTGCTTATTAAGAATCTATGAGCAGAATTCTCATTTACTCCTAATAAATCTGGTTCATATGGATTAATAATCACTTAATCAAATAAATTTTAAGTAAATGTATATAATTTTTCACCTGTACCTGAATGATATAAATGAAGATATGTATCTATTCTTAACACCAAATAATATTAACTCATTTAAACTTATAAATTTTTATAACTAGTTATATTTGGAGTTTTAATTGAAAATTTTTGAACATCATTTTCATAAAAATTTACTGAATTTTTAAATACTAAAACCAAATGATAGGTAATATTTCCATTACTACCCTCTAAATAATTAAAATCAAATCCAAAACATGGTGTAAGATAAGGAGGATTAATATGATTTTTGAGTTTCCATTCTAGATTAGCAGATTCAAAATATAAAACATAAACTCCATTAAAAGCATCTAAAACATATATACTACCATCAGGTTCTAATTAAAAATCCACTAAATAAAACTTTTATTAAGCTTCAGAAGTTCCTAATAAATTTGCTAATACTTTTTTAGTTAATACAGCAACAGGAGATGGGTTAGTTAAATTAAACTTATTATCGAATTTGTAAACTTCTAATTCACAATCATCATCCAATTTATCAATTACTAAATCTGCATGTTCTGTTGCCCAAGTAGGTTCTCCTCTAAATAACAAAGCTTATCTATCACCATTTGAATAAGTGTAATTGTGGAATAGAATTTTTCGATATTCTGTAAAGTTGTATCTATAACCTTCAGGATGCTCATTAGGAAATAGGGCATATTTATCTGGACTAGCCACATCTACTACTATGAATCCATTCATATATCCCTTTGTTTCATCATCTAAATCTTTTTAATAACAATCCACAACTATTTTACTATTTGTCAAGAAATCCACATCGAAACATACAAAATTTTTAGTTTAATTTCTGGCATTTATTTATCCACTAAATGAAGGAACTTTATCCATCTTTTAAGGATCTCTATAAAGAAATATTCAATTTATATACCCATAAGAATAAAATACATCTACATCTGTCTTATTTTACTCTAAGAAAATGAAATCATTCAACCATGCTCCATTTTCAAATGATCTATACGCCTTAAGACTTCTTATTATTCCAATTGAAGCTTAATTTTTATTATTATTTAATTACGATCTCTATGACTAATTGGATCTCCTATCTCTGCAAATGGATCTATTGTTTCAAAATATGGACAATCTTCATTTATTTTAAATTTTAGATTCTCTCCTTTAAAAAAAAATCTTCTCATATCCCATTCCTAAATCTCATTAACAGTACCATATACATTATATTACTATTAAATAGTATCTAACACATAAATCTCTATAACTTACCACAAACCTATCCAAAAGATGAAAAAATTAAGATATTTAGCAATATCAAGAAATTCTTCATTGATTATAGAAAATCTTAATAAATAAAATCAAATATTTCTAATTTAGAATGCTATTTTAAATAAAAAATTCAATTATAGAATGAAAATAGACTTAAAACTAAAATGTTCATTAAAAATTCAGAACATAGAATTGAGATTTAATCTATATTTTATTATTCCTAAATTGATTATACTCTAATTAATTTTCTAATAATAAATTCATATTATATAATTTTACAAAAATTCCATCATATTAAATCCACAATTTTTTTTTGTTTCTTGCTATTTAATATTTTATTTTAGTTTAAAATATAGAAAAATTCTGTCTTTAGCTGAAGTTATTATCTTTAGATAATTTTTTAGAGCTTTTTCAATAAAAATTATTTTCTCTGCTCTAATTTTTCTTTATTCTTTAATGTAAAGATAATTTATTTTCCAAATGATTACTCTTTGTGAAATAACTTTAATTAATTTTTTTATTTTTACTTAAAATATTTATGGAGAGTTAGATAAATATTAAGGAGCAATCAATTTTGCACCTATAGTACAAATTTCATTTATTGGAATGTCGTAATTAAACTAATAAAATCGATATTAATACAAATAATTTTTGTTCTAAGAATTAACCTTCGATACACATTAAATACACTTCTTACTTCGACCACTTTATATTACTTGTATTTCTCAAGCGAACACTCCATAAAAATGATTTTCCTGGAATTACAGTTTAAGTTGATTGACAATATTCTATATTCATTTTGAAAACAGGCTAAATTTTTGGTTGAAGCAATCCATGAAATTCCAATCTCTAGTCTACAAGCTCTTTTATAAAACACTCTAGAGTGCTTTATTTAGTTTCAAACGAATTTATATCTAGAATTTAAGGATTAGTGTATCTTTATTTTTATTAATTAAAAATAATGTCTAAAATTATTTCTAAAGTTACAACCGTTATTATCTTAATTATTATATTATATAAGGATGCTCTAATTAAGGCTTTCAATCTCATCTTATTTTAAATAAGACTTGTCCTTAGAATTTTTTATTATAAATTTAAGTTGTAAATGCCCATAACATTATTTTAAATAATTAAAATGCTCTTCGTCATTGATTCTAAACGGTGTTTATTCTAATAAAGTTTTATAAAAAAAACTTGGAAGAACTTAAGTGTAAATCTCGAAATTTTCCCCTAAATTCTATGGATAAAGACATTGGATGGTTTCTCTTATTTCCTTGTAATTATTGATAGAATAAGGAAGTTTGTGAATTTTGTTTTCAAAGACAACTTTAATCTTCATTTTTTAAATTATTTCTTTTATAATTATAAGCTACTTAAAAATAATTCAAATCAAAGATAATATATTTAGATAATAAACTTTAGTCCCAACTAAAAGTGCATTTGGGAAAAAAACTGCGATGGATAATAACTTCTCGTTTTGAAATTATTTTGAACCTACAAGTTTTAATTCTTGATCAAGTTTGTAAATCTTCAATTCTTATTTATATAAAACGAATAAAAGATCATTAATGACTAGGTTTTTTTTAAAATTTTGATGTTAAGAAGACACACTATTTATTAATTTGAATTGATCATCTTGAATGATATAGTGATAAAAATGGTTTTTTAAAGAACTTATGTAAACATTGTTTTAAATAACATTTATGTATGCATACATATGTTATAATTTTGAATGATAAGTCATTTTACAATTAATTTACTTTAACTATGGATTGAAATCATATCTATATAAGGAGCCTCTATCGTTAATATAATAGATTTAATTTTTGATGCATACCAATAAGTTAATAAGGAAAGGTTCAATGCCATCATTTAACTTTTCATTTTCAATTAGAGCAGCCTCTTTTAATTGATTATTTATATATTCAGAAATGTGTATGCCTTCATAATCAGAATAACATATAAGACTTGAATCTTCATTAAAGCATAATCCACAAATATCTGATTTTAACTCAGCCACTTAATTATAATTAATTAATTAACAATTTTTTTCATTCAAGGTAATTAAAGAAAGTGTTTTTGAACTAACTATTCCAACGATATTATTATTAACTTGACTTTAAAAAAGCTAAATACAATCGTCGAAATATTTTTCAAATATACTTTCCTAATCTTATGAGTAAATAGTAATAAATTTCTCATTCTAAACGACTATTTTTTATTACAGAAAAAAAATATTTGTTCCAGAAGTTTATATTTCAAATGAATTCTCAGAAGTTTATAATTTTTAAGTATGTTTAAAATCCTATTTAGAGTTTAAATCTAATTTTAAAGATTTTTCTATCTCTTGTATTTTGATATTAAGCTCTAAAATTTGTTTTTCTAGATTTTTAGATAATTATTATTCTAAATTTTCTATGATAACTTCTTCATTAACATATTAAATATTTATTAATTTTAGCAATTCTTTAATATCCATATAATTAAAATAATTATGGAGTATTTTTTCGAACTTTTCTGATTTCTGAGCTTTCTATAATTCTTGAAGTATATTATCAAATAATCTTAAGTATTTATTTTTTAAATTTTGGACATGTCTCTGCAAATTTAAGTTTTGTAATTCATTATGAGCATATAATTTCTTTAAAGCACTATAAAATACTTCATATTGAATTGGATTAATCAATTTGGTCAAGCATCTTTCACATGCAAGCGTAGAATCAAATATGCTAATAAATTTAATAAACTGCTGCTTTGAACATAAATTGCAAATTAATTCGGGTTACATCTATTTTTTTATTTACTTGATAGGATTTTAAAAAAGTAATTATTAAAAATTTTGAAGAAATCAAAAATCTTATAAAATGAGAAAATTGATTTAATTAAGAGACATATAAAATTTACATTAATTCACTAAAGATACTTTTGCACTCTTTAGCACCTGTGGAATTATCTTAAAGAATTTGCTATAAACAAAAAGGCTCCACCAAATAAAATGATATAGAACCAAAGAGTCCTAAATGTATCCAAAGTTAGAGGAGAGAACTAAATAATAGAAATTTATAAAAATACTTCCACTATCATCATCATCTGATGGAGGAGGAACGGAACTATTATTATTAATAATTTTAAATAATCCTTAAGCAGAGCTATTATCAATTTGAATTTATAATTCTACCCATTAGGATTATACTTATGTGTCATCAACTATTTTCAATTTAGGAATATCATGAATAGTATATATTTTTCTAACATAATTATAAATTTAATTATCTTCTTCAATATTTGTATAGCAAGAGGGCTAGTATAGAATAAATTTTAATAAAATTTAAAAATTAAGCTAAATTTAAAAATTTTTTTATGATTATCTTTTATTAAACATTATTACTTTACATCTAACGAATTAAGTCAAGCCTTTAGCAGATTAAATCATAATTTTTTAATAAAAAGTGTTTCCTTATTGAGATTATGTTGCATCGAAATCATTGATTTAGCATTCATTTTATGATGGAAGATTAATATATGTTTCATTAAGTATTTTTTCATTTTTAATATTTCACTTTGAATCAAGAGTTAATTAATAAACATAAAGTGTTTTTCTTTAGTATATATGATGATTGGAATTTGCATCTAAAAAGTTCAAATATGAATTAAGATACATAATTTTTGAAAGTTTGTCAGATTAAATAGGAGTACAAGAGTATTTGGATTAATCAAAATTGGCGATGTATATTTATGAATCAGGATTATTAAAACAATTTCATCATTACTATTGTAAGATATTAATGATTTAGGATCCAACAATATCTTTAGATTATGCTCCTGCAATAATTTCCTATTTTGCAAATTAAGTTCCTTAACTACTTGGAGTAAGTGGATTAAGAATGCTGACAAGTTTATCATCACATAATAAGCATTGAATACTGAATTTAGTAACATGGCCAAAATATAATCCATCATTTGTAAAATATAAATTTTAATTGATATTAGTAGATTCAAAAAGGAATGTTATTTTGATAAAAGAGCATCATTAAATCTAAAAATGGATTGAATATTAATAAATTAGACTGGATAAATAATCCTCAATCTGCTATCTGACAATGTATTAGTAATACTTACAGCTAGTTATTTAAAAATAAATTTTCGTTAGTTCAACAAAGAATCTTGTTTTAGCTTGTTTCATTTTTATTTCTAAATTATATTTTTTAGATGAGGTATATTATCTTGATCGATGACGAAAAATTTTGATTAAACAAATTTAATATAAATTCACATCCATATTCCATAATTTTTATTGAATTTGAGTTCTATATTTATAATAAGTTATTAATAAATATGGCTTAGATTATTGATACATCGGATTAAATGTCTCTTTTAGAACCAAACAAAGGTTTATCGTTTAATGAAAACTCATGTCATAAAACATTGTTCTTTTCATGGGTTTATCCTATACTAAAAGTAAATCATTATTTTTAATCCTTAAGGTTGGAAAATCAAAAGCCTTGAATTAATAAGACCTCATAACAATAGATAAAAAAAACACTATGAGTAATTCTTATTTAAAATTTAAAAGTGTTTTCAATAATTCTAATTTTATTTTCAGTTTATTTATTGCCTATAGAAGTAATAACATTCATTAATATTTAGAATAAATCTTGATATGCCTATTAGCATATGTTCTAGTGGCAACTTTATAATTGTGTCTTCCAATCATTACAGCAAAATCTTAAAAATATTTTATGTATGATCAACCAGAAGATAAACCTTTAACTTCAAATATGTTTATTTTTGCTATAATTCAACTAATATATATGCTAGCACTCTCTATAATCAAACCATTTTAATTATTCTTTGCTTCTATTGTTAGCATAAAGATTCAAGGAGCTTTACAATAAGAAATTATGTTAAAGACTCTTAAATTTCCTATATCTCGATCTCAACACTATTCAACTGGAGAACTCATCAATATGTTGTAAGTTGATATAACTTAAACATCTAATTATTTTTATAATGCTATAATTTTATTTGCTTGTCCTCTATAACTTGTATGTGCTGGTGTAGTTTTTTATTTGACTTTAGGAAATTAAGCTTTGGTCCCAGCTTTAGGAGCAGTTATTTAAGCTTTTATAGGACTAACTTTTGGTTATTTATATGGTATTGTATAAAAAAAATACATGATGGCAAAAGATTTGAGAATGAAGGCAGTAGATGAAGCCTTACTTTATTCAAAATAAGTTAAATTAAATTAGCTTGAAGATTTCTTTGAATAGCGAGTAATTAAATTCTACTATCATTATAGATTTAAGCCTAAAGAATTAATGAATTACGCCATCTTAAAAATTAAGTTATTATGCTTATTCTCATTTAGTTACTTTAAGGATTAGTTGGTATTTTTACTTGGGAGATTTTATTTTTCGTTAACAACCCTATTAATTTTGCTATTGTATCTTTAATGATGCAAAATTATGATAATATAGTAAGAATTTTAGAAGATCTACCTTTGTAATTTAAGAATTATTCAATGAGCAAAAATTCAATTGATCGAATCCAAAATTTTTTTAAATAAAAAGAATGTATTTAATTAGAGTATGTTGTTGATTAATCAAATATTGCTGTCAATATATAGAATTGTTAATTTAATTGGGAAACAAATGATCAAATGAATAATGATGTTGAGGATAATGAAAATGCTTCTAGATAAAAAAATACAATATTTAATATTAATTTAAATATTTAAATAAAGAAAGGTTAATATGTAGCTTTTGTAGGAAAGTATTTTTATTTATAATTATTTATAGTTCAGCCTCTGGTAAATCTACAATTCTCAGATCAATATTAGGAGAAACTAATAATCTATAAGGGAAAGTTACTGTAAATGGAAATATAAGTGTTGCAACTCAAGATCCATGGATTATCAGTGGATCTATAAAAAAAAACATTACATTTATGAATTAATTTGATAGTATCAAATATAAATAAGTAATAAAAATTTGTGGATTGGATAGAGATATTGCATCTTTTAAAAATGGAGATGAAACTATTTTAGGAGAAAAAGGAGATAATCTATCTGGAGGATAATAAAAAAGAATAAATTTAGCTAGAGCAGTATATAATGATGCAGATATTTATTTATTAGATGATCCAATGAGTGCACTAGATATTAAAGTCAAATATCAAATTAATTAATAATGTATTTAAGGCTATCTAAAAAACAAAACTAGAATATTATTTACTAATTCAATATCCAATCTTTAAGAATGTGATATGATATATATTGTTGAAAATGGAAATATCGTTAAACAAGGTAAATTTGCCTAGATAATTGGGGTTAATGATAATTAACTATTCTCTTAAAAAGAAATAATTGATATCTAATTTGAAGAAAAGCATTATTCAACCGAATTAACAGAAAACTAAGATTTAAAATCAAGCTTGATATAAAAAGAGGACTAAGAAAAAGGTTAAATTTCAAAATCAGTTCAATCATAAATTTTCAAATTTATAGGAAGATACTTTGCAATTTTATGTGCATTAATATATTTTGTAATTGTACTTACTTGTTAATTATTTGGTAATTTTATTATGGCATAAGATGATATAACAGATGAAGATTATAAATAATTAGCCTAAACATATTATCCAATGATATAAGCTCCTATAATAGTTGCAATGGTTTTAATGAAAAGCTATTATTTAATTAAAGGTTTAAATACTTCAAAGCTTATTCATGATAACGTTATGAATAGCTTATTAAATGCTTCATATACAAAGTTTTATAATACAATTCTCATTGGGAGATTGATGAATAGGTTAAGTAAGGATATTTATAATATTGATTTATTATTTCCTAATGAAATTTAAAACTTAACATATCAATTAACATCCTTGTTATTACCATTATTTGCATGCTTCCTTTATTTAAACATTGCAGCATTACCTTTGTTAATTCTTTTTTTCATTATTCTGATATATTTAACAGTAATTTACTATAGATGTTTGAGAGAAATTACAAGAATTGAAGCTGTTTCTAAAAGTCCTGTTTTTTCTTTTTTTTAATAAATTGTTAGAGGAGTTACTTATGTTAGGAGTTGCTTACCAATAGAAAAAGTTGTAGCTTTATAATAAAAAAATGTTGATATTGATTTAGGAAATTAATTAAATTTGTACGGATTTTAATATTGGTATCAATCATTTGCTGGATCAATAACAAATTTCTTTTAAGCATTGTTATTTATAATTTGTGTAAAGTTTATTATTAATTAAGTTTCTCTTTCCAGGAAAGACTTAAAAAATGACTAATCTAGTCCTGTAATAGATGTAAACTGTTTCTAATTTACTTTTAAATTCTTCAATATCTTATGGAAATTTACAAATGTATTTTATCAGTTTTGAAAGATGTTTACATTTAGCAAAGTAATTA